GATTTCGGAGTCCCCGGCTGGTAGTGGTTAAGATTTTCTATTTTCAAAATTCTTCAAAAAATCATGTGTTCATTTACTGGACGTTTACACCCAAATGGACGACTCTCTGGTGGCTACTCTAATCTGTCAGGCAACCTTCATTGACGCCCCAGTATTCAGCCCAGGCCTGCAGCCCTGTAAAAGAGAGCCCAGAATTGTGTGGTGTTGCATAATTTCCTTTGTTCTGGTGAATGCCAGTAGTGTCTTTTCATATGTGGCTGGATTAGCGAGCAGTGGCGCTGTGCCGCTCATCAATGGGGCCCTGGAGCATTTTTGTCTGCGGTGCTAATCCGCGGGTGCACTATGCTCAAAACAGTGGTATATTGTTTTAAAACAGTGCCGGATTACCTTCAAAAAATGGAAGCAAACAATGATGGCAATTCCCAGCAGCAGGACCTTTGTTCCGAGTACAGTCTTCTGTTACACAGACCAGCTCTTTTGTACGAAACTGGGCACCCTAGCTCTGCGTATAAACACAAGGTACCCAAAACCAGGCTCCCCGGCAGAAGTGGTTAAAACTCAGCCAGATGGGTGTCCAGACACTGCCCCATTTTGTCTGGCTAGTGTCCACATGATGTACATGTATGCATTCACTAAGTATTCCTGGGCACACAGCTAGTCCAAACAAGTATTAACTATCTGAAGGTGAACAAGTAATCTACAACTCACGCTTTAAAAAGTGCTCATATTTGAGTTTGAATCTATATTTATCTTGACCTACATGTACCTCTCAAGCAGCTTATTATCATCATCCTTGGTCCACTCAGTGCCCCCTGCATGCTTCCAGTTAAGGTAGTTAAGCCACTTAGCACGGCACTGTTTCTCTGTTCTGGTGGGTACCTTTGCAGCCACTTGAGACCACGAGATACCTGTAGTTATGCTCTCACCAGGGGCGGCCTTGGACAATGAGTATACAGCCTCAGTTAGCATCTGCTCCTCATTCAGCGTCCATTTGCCTTTCAAATACAGAGGAAAACCAAAAAGGGGTGTTGATTACAACTTAGTCTCTACTTATCCATTTTACCAGAGGTACTTTTATTACATCAACATATCCTGGCAAACTGGATTTAATAAGAAAATAGTTTGATTTTTGTTTTCTATCATTTGATATTTGGAGAAAGCTGAAGTTTCAGCTGACAGCAGCCCTGCTGTAAAATGCCTTGATGACTCCCCGACCCCCCACAACCTACAACCCATGTTTACTTACTACGATCAGCATTATGGTGAGTCCTACTGTGTAGTTAGAAAGTCTTGATTTAACATGCACGTTTTGCTTGCAGTTTTTTATACCAATCACTAGTCACTTTGCACATCCAAAACCTACTTTGTGCTGTTACTACAAACATTCAATATTTTAAAATGTACTTTACATTTTGCTATTAACTGACATGCTTGTTCCAGAGAATAAATTTACTGCAATTCACTAAACCTATATGAAAGCGAAAGCAAAATATATTCTTTTGAAGGGAAACTTCTCCATGTTGTAGATCACATAAGATGTGAATAGAGAACTTCAAGATTGCAAAGGCAAGCTTGTGTACAGAATACATTTCAGGAATATCATGAAAAAAATATTACTATAAAAAGTACAGATCTGGAAGCAAACTATGATACATGTACCAGTACATGAACATCCATGTGATGAGCCAAGTTTAAAATCTGGAGGCCTCAATGACACATGTATGCCACAATGTGTTATATCCATAATTTTTGGATTGACTCGGTGACATAAGGGTACAGTGGCTTACAGAGAAAGCCATCTGTCACCCTAGAAAATGGATACAAGCCTCCCTGTCCTGTACTTGAGCCTTTTGGTACAAGACACAGGAAGTGCTTTAAGTACATGCAGATGCCCACATCGCTTCAATTTGCTTGTAAGGTTCAAACATGTATCATAAAAAAATGTTTTGGTTTACTACTGTTGAAAATGACTGCATATTACATCTAAACACTACACTTTTCTCATAATCCACAAAGCAGTGACATATCACCACAGTGGATTTGTATTCAAGGAAACAGAATATTTCCTGATGTAAAATGATAGATTCCGAAAAGATCACCAGGATTTAAAAGTCTGAAAAGAAGGAAAAAAAAGAGGGGATGCTCATATCAATGGGTAGGAGCCATTAAATTAAAACACATTTACATGTACTTTGCCTCAAACCACCAACCACTTTTCAGGCTTAGATGACATAAAAACTGTTTTTAAGAATCTTTATTAGGTCCTGCCATAAGATCCAAATATTTCATAACAATCTCACTGCTATCTCCCAAGTTGCTTTCAGTACCACTGTCTGTTAAAGTATTGATTAACTAAACTTAACCACTACCAGCCGGGGACTCCGGGATCGGAGCCGTATGGTTTATATGTGTGGCCTTGGTCTCCAAACTCGGACAAAGGAAACAGGGCCCTGTAACAAAAGACCGTACTCCGAACAAAAGACCAGGCTGCTGGGCATTACCGTCATTTTTCACTGTCAAAAGCGGTGATAATCCAGCGTTATTTTGAAACCGTATACCAGGGTTTGGGTATTTAG